ATATTTTTTGTTATTTACACGATTATTATGATTTTGTTGTTATTGGATTGTTTTTATTTACTGAAATATTTTGCCTTGGTTTGCTCATGTACACCTCCTGGGGTCAATCAGATTGAGGCAGTTTGTCAAATTGATTGATTTTGATTATGTGCCATCAAGTCAGTGTTGACTCTTAGTGACCACACAGATTTTCTCCAGGAGGTTTTGTTCCCAACATGGCACCCATCACCCTGTAACTGAGTCCACCCAGTTGGTGACTGGTCATCCTCTTCCTTTCTTTCCTTCCACCTTTCCCAGCATTATAGACTTCCCCAAAGAGCTAGGTCTTTGCATAATATATCTGAAGTAGGATAATTTGAGCCTGGTCATTTATGCCTCAAGTGAGAACTCTGGGCTGATTTGTTTGATGATCCATTTTCTTGGCTATCCATGGTATTCTCGGGAGTCTTCTCCAATAGTGAAGTTCAAAAATACCAATACTCTTTCTATCCTGTTTCTACAAAATCCAGCTTCCACTTCCATAGAGGGTCATAAGAAAAATCATTAACTGTACAATTCTGATCTTTGTAGGTTTAGATATGTCCTGGCATCTGAATACCTTTTCCAAGGCCTTCATTGTTACTAAGTAAAATGCTAGTCTGTAGCGTATTTCTTGACTGCTGCTTCCTTTGCTATTCACGTTTATCAATCCTGAAATAAATAAAATATTGCAACTTATTTGTTGTATGTATGCCTTTCCTTGAAGAGCTTTGTCATAGGTTCATCTTTTCCATAAGGGATGGTAGCAGGCAGATCATGCTTTTACTACAAAAAGTGCTTTATCATGCAGTTATATGCAAAATACAGTATACTAGGTGCTAAAGATACTAAAAAGGGTGATTTCTTATCTGGGTCATTTTTAAACCCTGTCCCTTTCCATTTCTAAAGGCTTGTCCCTTTTCTATCATATTTTATTTCCTATAGTTAAACTTCAGTCTTTACCTTGAAACTTCTTTTGTACTTGACATCCTTTTCTGCCCAAAATTCACCTCTGCCATTCTAACACCTTTTTCATCAGATTACCTTATCTTTGTTAATGTGTTCTTACTTCTTCTTGCTTTACAACTAAACTCTCTGACTTTCATTACTTTTACTATTTCTCCTCTTCCTTTCTCTGTTCTCCTTTCCCCCCACTTTCATTTGTTTGTTTCTTCCTTCCACTTTCTTCCTTCAAGTGTACCAATTGCACACACAGACAGCTTCTGCCATGAACTCAAGGTATTTATTGCAGCCATAAATCTTCAAGTGGAATAACACAAATGCATATTGTAGATTAAACTTCTGCTTTCAGTATATAGAAGAATGTAGAGGTAAGAGTCTACTTTCCCAAAAGAGTCCAAAGAGACATTTCACAGGTTCAGGGAGGATCCAAGAATACCCAGTGTCTCGTCCATGGTTCAGCCTGGTAATCCCAAAGAGAACACAGAGTTTCAGGAAGGGGAGTGGAATGTTACTTGCCAAAAATTGCTGGTCAGGCAGATGTCCCTTTTTTATAGACCTGATTGCCAGCTTGATTAATTTGCTGAGTAATGCTTCGTTGTTTCAAGTAGACAGCTTCTCTTTTGTTGTTCTACTGCTTGTAATTTATGACACATTTTAGGGCTTGGGGCCTTGCCTCATTCAGGCTGTGAGCCAGCTGATCTACCTTGCACCTGTGTCTTTCCAAGTATCTTTTCCACTGATGTTAATCCTTGTGGTGCAGCTGAAACTGGGTAGGTTCTTCAGTTTCTAAGTCTGCAGAGAGACCCCTACCAGGTTGGTTGCTCATAATACAATACAAATTGCCTCTCTGTTTCTGTTGCTGCGACAACCATTCTTGTCTCTCTGCCCTCTGTGGGAATTCACCTTTAGGTGAACGCAGCATCTTTTTTGCCATCTCTCTTCTTCTCTTTGTCCCAGCCCCTCATGGATTCCACCCAGCTGCTTTCCACTCCTTTCTCTGGCCACAGCAGCTGTCACCTTTCTTAACTGACTCTACATAAGAAAGGGGTGGGGAAAACAAAACTGCTCCCCTCTGCAATTTTCTTTCCCAGGTCATTTTTTTCCTGACTCTTCTGAAGCTTTCAGCCTGCTACATGGCTGATTACAGCTTCCCCACTCCCATTTCATCTCCATGCACCACACCTCCAATGGCAATCTCCTTTCCTTCGTTCATCATTTCATCCTCTTTCTCATGGTGTGGAAAGAAGAATTACTGAAAGGATGGTGAGCACCTGTTCTCTCTCCTTTTCTTCCCTTTTGAGCTCTCCCCCAATGGTTGGAGAGTGTATTTGCCTATTCAAACCCTGAGGGGGAGGTGGGGGAGAAGACAGAGTGTGTTGGAGCCATATAACCACAGATGACTCTGTTAATAGGCAGGCAGACAGACTAGCCCCAGAACCCGGGAGAAAAAAAATGGAAAACTGATGACAGTTTTCCTTTTCTTGGATGTAGAAAATGCTGGGTGATGGAGTCCAGTAGGGGTTCCTGGACAGGTTGAAGCCCAAAGTACAGCAGCAAAGCCACAGCCCTGCTGAGCTGAAGGCAATGGGGCTGGTGGGGGGGGGGGGGGGGCAGCAGCTGGGAAACGAGTGTGAAAAAAATTGTTCTCCCTTCATCCCAGCCTCAGACTTGGAATGGGAGTAAAAACTCTTCCAGTCTGAAAGAGAGAGGTCTTCGTCCTTTTCCCACCAGCTGGTGCATTCGCTCCTGAGAGGGAAAGTGAAGCAACCCATGGGACAAAGAAGGCTGAAGAGCTCTTGCTACTGGCCTTTGGCAGACAAACAGAGCATGAAAGTAAAAGAAAGGCAAAGAGATAAAAGATATACCAGATAGTGTTGGAAAGGAGGATACAACTACTGGAATGGAGAAATATAGAGCTATAACCCTAGAGAGATGCAGGTGAAGATTAAGTAATAAAAGAATGGCCTTAGAACATTGAGATAGGAATAGGATAATAGGATAAAGAGGCATCACAATAGCAATACAGAAGTAGTATTAGTGAAGTACAAGACACAGATTGAAAATTAACATAGAAGTATAGGAAATAAAACAGAGACATGAAAGAGAATATATGTATGTAGCTCAGGATTAAACTGTGGAGTCCTTGGTGCTCTGTGAACTTGGTTGTTTGCTTGCAGACATTTCATTACCCAACTAGGTAACATCATCACTGCGAGTGAGTGGGGTTTGCTCCCTGCTTATACACAGTAGCTTGCCCTGCCAGTGTTGGTGGGGGTGTGGTTTTCTCCTTGGTAGTTCCTTGATCAGAGTATTGTTTTCTGCTTGATTGTTTGCCTGGTGTTAATCCCTGTTTATCTGGGTGTTGGCTGCTAGAGAGGATGTGTTTCTGGTCTTTTTGTTTCCTTCTTAGCTTTTTTGTTGTCTCTTTTGAATGGTGTGTAAATATGACTTATTTCTGAGTGTCTATTGATGGCTTATTTGTCTGAATGCCAAGCTTCTGGGAATTCCCTAGCATTTTTGAATTAAGCTTTGTCTAGGATGCTCATTGTTTCCCAGCTGAAACTATGGTTGTTTCTGTCCATGTGTTGTGAGATTAAGGAGTTTTCATCATGTCTTCTGACTGCTAGCTGGTGTTCATGAATGCACTCTGCTAGTCTTCTGTCTGTCTGTCCTACATAGTGTCTGTTACAGTCCTTACACTGTATGTAGATGTAGATGACTCTTGTTTTTTCTTCTTGGGCTACTGAGTCTTTTGGTTTACTTTGAAAGGCTTTAGGTGGTTTGTATACAGTAGTGCCATGTGGTTGTAATAGTCTGTAGGTTGTTTCTGAGATGTTTTTGATGTATGATAGCGTTATCCTTTTCATAGTTTGTGTTGGTTCTGCTGTAGTGGGTTCTGCTGTAGTGGTTCTGCTGTAGTGGATTGAGTGGTCAAGCGCTTTTTGATAAAAGTGCATGGGTATCCATTTTGTTGGAAGATGTTATATAGGCAGTCTGTTTCCTTTTTTTGCGGACCTGGGTTGCTGCAGTGCGTTTGTACTCATCTGAATAATGTTCTTACCCAGCTCCTCTTGTAGGAGGTTGGGTTGTTACTTTGGTAATGGTAGAACATGGACTGGTGGCTCCTCATTTGCTGGAGATCTTCAAACAGAGGCTAGATGGCCACCACCCAGAGGCATTTTAGCAGATGCTGCAGCAAGCAATAGTTTGGACTAGATAGCCTCCAAAGTATTTTCCAACTGTATGATTCTACAACCTTCTGTGTGCACTGCAGTTATGCCCTAATAGAGGGTCTTAGGCAAATTATGTCAGAATTATGTCAAAAATTATGTCAAAATGTTTCTCTTCCCTTTCATATATATCATCATACTTTCTCCTCCTTTTAGACTGTTAGCCCTCTACTAAGAATTTATGAATTATTTATTTAATCCTCTTCTTACCAAAAATCCATGGATTATTTCAATAAGAATGGGCTTTGCTTTTTCTAAGTGGTAATCTCAAATTCAACAAAGGATTTTTAATATCTCCTCTTCTGTTTATAAAAATACACTAGTTTCAAAAACATCTAAGAATCATTGTTGTCTATAGCACGTGTGTCACATTTCAGTTTTTTAGGTAAAGTGGATCTGTTCTAATAATTCTGATATTTCCTAGAGCTACTGAGATGCAAGCTTTTTTTGTACACACACACACACACACATGCACACACAGCTAGAAATCTGACTAAACAGAAGTGCTAGTTCATCTTGTCTCAGCATTGCCAAAAGAACTAAACCAAAAACCCTTAATACAAATTTGTACTGGTATGTTTTTATATAGAATTATGTTTGTATTAAGGAAACTATATTTTAAAATTTAAAATCTGATTATAAACATGCTTTTTTACATCATACTATGTAATGAGTATAACTGATTTCCAGTTTAAGAACTACTCAACTTCAGAAAAGAACAGATTGTTAACTTTAATGCAACTGTTACAACAAAATACATTTGAATGGATTTAAATACTATTCACTTACTTTTGATATCTTACTCTTATTGTCACCTGTCAGAAATGCCAAATTGTTAATTTCATTGTGAATCACAAAATTTTGTTCTTCTCTCTTAAAATTCTGAAAAAAGAGAAAGAAATATGGCTTTTGAGCATTTATTTTACATATATATTCATGTGCATACAGTATTGTATTGTGTTTTTATTGTAAACCTCCCGGAGTCACTTCCTAGTGAGATGGGCAGTGACCCAATCTGAAATATAAATAAATAAATCCATTGTAAAAAGAATATGTGAAATATTATCTTACATGTGATTTACACCATAGGATGAAAACTTCTGCTACCATTCGGAAAAGTTCGTCAGAATCAGCATCTGGTTTTTTAAGCCAGTTTGATCTTAAAAGAAAAGCAACATAAGATTATTAGACTGAAATTCACGTGATTTCCGTCCCTTTTTTAATTTTCACTTTGGCACTTTGTTTCTGGCACCATGTCTCAAAGTATCAGTGTGTATAGGAGAGTTGTTTACTGTATTATTCCTTTTACTGGCAGGATGCATTAATAGTGCAATTCAATCCATGTCTCCACAAAAGCAAATCCTGTTGAGCTTAACAACGGAACTTAGTTCTAAGTAAGTGTAGCAAGGATATCTGTCGATCACGGCAACAAAATCAATAAATACTCCATCTTTAGCAACTTAAAGCCTTAATACATTTCCACACTTTAGAATCCATAGTCTTTTTCTTTTTTGTTCTTGTCAAGAACTATATATCCTCTCTAGCACTGCCATGATATCAGAAAAGGATTATGTTTAAATACAGGAACATTCATGTTAAGAAAGAAATAACCTAAACTGCCTTGGCCACATAGATGCAAGTTTACAGGATTAGGAAAAATGATTTTATATTTTAATAAAGCACAGTATTATTAATATTATTAAATAACTTCAGTCAGTTTCACAATGATACATCTCTGAATTGTAAAAGCTGCAACAAAATGTTTTAGGAGGCTGAAGGAATGAGTTTTAAAAGCTTTTTATATATCTTCTGTATAATCTCAAGTATCCTTACTATTCTGAATTTTTCAGTGGCTTCACATCCATTTGAGATGATATGAAGGCAGTCATTCACATGTTTCTTTCCTGCCTATCCTAAATTTAGTGAAGCTTGAGGACAATAATGTTCCCTTTGTCCTATTCATTATTGATTTTTCTCAAGAAAGCACTCTATTCTTTGTTGTGTCAGGTGTCAACACTATCAAACTTTCCACTTGTCAGGATTAGTTAACACTGCTTGTTGATCCATGAAGTGATCTTGACTCACTTCTTGTGAGTGACCTTGACTTTTTTCTTGCCGATTGATCCAAGATAAGGAGAATCTATTATTTACACGTCATATGAATTTTCAGCATTATTGAGGCAAGCAAGTACACAAACAATTTGTATATAAGGCTTGATAGACTTATGTTTGTATTTTAAAGGGAAGTTTTCCTGAATATATCTTAATTCCTCAAAGGTTAATAATGAACAGAAAAACAACTCAAGAAATATATTGCCAACCACAACAAACCACTAAGGGAAACTGAAGAATTCCATAAATATATTTGAAGCAAAAAAACAGCCAGGAAAGTGGCTGAGCCATTAGATGACAAAGGAGTGAAAATAATGCTCATGGAGGATATGGATATTGGAGAGAATACAGAAGATATAGAACATAGACCTGAGCCTTTATTGACTTTCTTATGGAATAAATCAGGACAACTAAAGCATAATTAATACATGGAATCTGTGATGGCCACTAACTGGGATGCTTTAAAAGAAGGCTGGAAAAATTGATGGTGAACAGGATTGGAGTCACAATGTTATGTTTGGGTTTGGGGCAGCATACCTTCAAATATGAATTATAGGAGAACAATGGCAGGGGAGGGGTGTAACTCTGCTTCCTGCTTGTGAGCATTCTAGAGACAGTTCATCACTGTGGGAAAGATGATGTTGGACTAAGATGGGCCTTGGCCAGATCAAGTATAGGTTATAAGCTGAAGCAATAAGAGAAAATAATCTAGAACATCTTGAGACCACAGGGTAACTAATCATCGGGTTCTGAGGGTCTCTATCCAAGAGTTCTTAATGAATTCAAATGTGAAATTGTTCCTGACCTAGCAAAAATATGTAACTGGTCCTTCAATGCCAGGGGACTAAAAACAGCCAACATGAACCCAGTTTTCAAAATTAGATTCAGGGCAGGCTATAGACCAGCCAACTTTTATTCTAGGCAAATTGGTAAAAATAAAGAAAAATAATAATAATAATAATAAAAGAAAAAATAGCTAAGCACATAGAAGAACAAGGAGAATCAGTAGAGATTCCACAAAAATAAATCCTGCCTCAACAAACTTATAAAGGTTTTTTTTTTTTTTTTCCTCAAGTGTCAACCCACACAGGGATGAAAATATCAGCCCTTTGAGGTAGACCAACTCAGAAAATAAAATCCACAAGAATGCTGGACTCTATTAATAAATTTACATTAATAAATATAGGTTATAACAACAAAATCTTGAAAGTCTGTGTTTTCCCTTCCCTCCCTCTGATACTGCAGGGAGTTAAAGTGGAGTCAGTTTGAGTTTCTTTCTAATGTTTTCTTCATTTCCCAGGTTTAACACATGTTCCCTTAGTTTCTCAAAGGTTATCTCTATGGCTCACCACAGAAAGAAACCCTAGCTGACATGCTATACTTGGATTCTCAAAAAAGCCTTTGACAAAGTTCCTCACTGAAAGCTCTTAGGTAAAGATTAGAGGGATTAAATAGGTTGTTCTTTTATGTACCAATAATTGATAAAAAAAAGAAATTAATGAGTAGGAATAAATAGTAGACAAGGAGGGATGAAAGAAGAAGTAGAATCCCTGAAGGATCTCTGCTAGGACCAGTGCTTTTTAACTTGGCTAAGTTTTTGGATCATACTAAATTATTCAGGATGATAAAAATCAAAGGTGATTGTGAAGAGCTCCAAAAGGATCTCTTTAAACTGGCTGGGTCAAACTAATGACAAATGCAATTCTAGCTAAGTAATTGAAGTGATTCATGTTGGAACAAGATGCTCTAATTTCACATAGACATATCTTGGGTCTCAGCCATTTGCAACTGACAAAGAAAACAATTGTGGGGTCATAGTGGATAATTTAATGTATGGTGGCAGATATCAAAGAAAGATACATTCTGTGCTAGGAATCATTAGGAAAGGGGTTGAATATCAAACTGTCAGTATGGCAAGGCCCTTATACAAATCTCTGGTATGTTATCACCTTGAAAAGGAATATAATGAAGTTGGAAAAAATGCAGAAGAAAGCAACTAAAATGATCAGAGAGCCCAAACGCTTTTCTTATAATAAATAGCTAGAATGTTTGCTACTCTTTAGCTTAGGAAAAAGGCAACTGAAGGAAGATATGATCAGCACTGAAAAGAATGGCATGGAGAAAATGGACAGAGAGAAAATTTCCTCCATCTTTCAAAAAACTATGAACATGTATTATCCAATGAAGCTGACTGAAAAAAGATTCCAAACTGAAAAATGAAAGCACTTCTTTGCCCAACAAATAGTTGAGCTGTGGAATTCATTATTACAAGATGTGTGATAACTATTAATTTGGATACTGTTAAAAATGTATACATTCATAGAGGATGGGGTATCAAGGGTATCTTGAGACTTACTGCAGGTTGGGAACAACATGCCTCTAAACACCAGTGGCAGGGGAACAATGGCAGGACAGCAGTATGTCTCCATCTCTTGCATGAGAGTACCCCAGTGGCATCTGTTTGGCCACTGTGAGAATTTCTTTCTTGAGTAATCTATGCTTATTCCTCTGACTGTACAGTATTGCCTTCAGAATGGACTTCAACGTTCCTTAGTGTTTATCATCCGCTGTGACCTTGGTTTGTATATTTTTTTGTATCCTTCATTGAACAGGATACAGTGCTCACAATGTTCTAGTTTGTAATATTGTTGTGTGTTTATGTGGGGCTTTCACTGAAGATAGTATGAAACATAAGCTGCTTCAGAATTTAATACCTAGATTATTAACAAGAACAAGACACTGAAATCATATGTCAACCTACACTGAAAAACTTCATTGGCTCCTCATAATTTCCTGAGACAGATTCAAAATTTTAGTTTTCAGCTTTAAAGCCCAACATTGCTTGGACCAAATGGGAATATTGGCATTCTCCACCCTCCCCATTTATTGTTATCTAAAGACTTTTAGATTTCTGTAAAGTCCAGAGTGCCATGATTGGCAATGAAGAGAGATAACATTTTCATTAATGATTATTTATCTTTGGAATCTTCTCCTTACAGCAACCTGACATCCACTGGCTCCTCAAGAAGTTAACTCAGCCCCCTCCCTTCAAAAAAAATATCTTTAAAAATTCAAAAATCGCTTAAATCTAGCATGGTGTCATGCAAGAATGAAACCATTATCAGATTTTAATTTTGTGTTTTCATCAGATAAAGTATGTAATAGTATCTAGAGGTTGGGAAAAAAGGCTGTTCTAGGAAGGATCACTATTGCCTAATGCTGTGATTATATAGGTGATAAGCAAAAACAGTTTTTATTTTGTTGATACTAACATTTCAAAGATAGAATAGATTTATTATTTAGTTAAACAAAAGGTTGTAATTTTAGATGTTTTTATTTTTTATTCTATTTGTACTGATGCTCATTCATTTTGTTAGTCATTTTGGGAACATATATGTTATGCTGAAGGAACAAATTATAAATTCTCCAATTAAGTGTGATATTTTTAATTCACCTACCTGTTGTTGTCTACATAGCGGATCAACATAGGATAAAAGGCATAAAGATCTCGACAAAGAACTGCAAATTCATCTAGAATGAGAAGTTCTGCTTCCTGGGTATCAGTTTTATTGTCTGCTTTCAGTTGTTCTTCTTCAATCACTATTTTAATGGCTTTCTTCTTTAGCTTTTCCAGAGTCGGAATAAAATGACTTTTCAACAGATCTGGTCTGGCTTTACTTATGATTGGCTGAGCATACACTATATACAAAATATATGTATATAAAATTAATTTTGAATATAAAATATTACATTGAAAAAATTATATATACAAATTTGTTCTCATACTGATTTATTGCTGCACTGAACTGTGAGTCTCAGCTTAGATATAACAATAGCACACGGTTGTTCTGTGCATAAACTGTAATTTCACACCAATTTGCCATTATCCCCAAACTGAAAAATGTGTGTTATGCTATTTATGGTCAGATCAACAGTCAGTCTGTGATTGCAGATTTTCGTTTGTTAACTAAAAAAGAATTTTCTATATTTGGATGTAATGGGAATCTGTTATTCAATTAAAATGGTAGAAAAATTCAGTCTCTTCTTAAATATAAAATAGAGAACAAGGTAGCTCAGGATTTACCGTGGATTATTTTTTAAAATATGGTTGGATGTGACATCTACACTAAGCTGTAATTTCAACAAAAAAGAATGTTCTTCTAGAATATAATGTACATCTGAAAGCCATATGTTACATCCATTCTATAACAATGCATTTAAATCAAATAGAAGCCAAGCATGCCATAAGGTTTTTAAAAACACTTTAAAATTGCTAATGAAATATTTTTTTCTACAGATGTTAAGAGTCAGTCCTACATAAATAAGATACTCAGTACCTACTCAGTGATGTAGGACTAGTGAATTTACCTACACTTTTCATACTGTGTATCTTTGCTGTACAGAATACATAATAATGGATGAACATCGTTCTATTTATTTCTAGTATTATTTTTAATGAACTCGATTAATTTTTAAAAATCTAGCTACACTTCCTGGAAAGAAAAGAGGGGTTATATTTCTGTTTTTTGTTAAACAGGAAACTCATCATAAGTTTTTGTTGACTTTATCTCATACCTAAAGCTACCATTGGAAAGAAAGCCTACATTTTATACTGATATTTAATTATATAGTGAACTCCTATCACACTAAATTGCTCGTTAAATGTAAATCTGACTCTGTGGAAACATCTTCATAAAGATTTAGAAGAATTATTGCATAACCAACCAATATAGAAAGTGCTCTATTGTAAGTACCTGCAATTCTCTTCATCCAAGTTGCTTCATCTATTCCCAAGTTATTGTTGATGATTTTCAAAATGTTCCCCAGTATTATACTAAGATGCTCAGAGGTCACCATTGTGCAGCAGGATCCATCACTTTCTGAATGATTCTCAGGTCCTTTTTCCCACCAGTATGACAGATAGTTGCACAGCATGGGCAAGATCACTTCAATTACATGTGGCATTTCAGTATACCTGGCTCCAGATTCAGCCAAACTATTTATTTCTTTCATTAAGCCATCCAAATGAGGGATTTCTGGACACATTTCTTCTACTGTCTCAGGCATGCCTAGAACTTTATATGATGATAAGAATAGTTTTAAGTAGGCTAACATACTTATCACTTGAAAAAGCTAAAACACATTTTAATTAATATCATTTCTACCATATCATGGAACAAAAAACCTTGTTTTATCCCCTGCTTTCTTAGATGGAAAGAGATGTTAGACTGCCTGTCCAAAGCAGCAAACCTGATTTAATAGATCCACCTTCTGCCTAACAGCATTAGCTAATTTGCTTGCATGCTAAAGATGGAGTTTTTTCATTCATTTCATCTCAGCAGTCTTCATTTCATAAGGAATTAAGGAAGAAAGTTCCTGCTTACAAAATACCACTTCAGTCTACAAAAAGGGCCACAGAACTGAATGCTGTATCCTAACCCACAAAAAAAAAAAAAAAAATCCCACTCACAGAGGCATATTATGATATATGGTATTTTTGTTGCTGCCAGAGATAAGCTGAAAAATCAGTACAATGCTGATAACTAAAACAACCTAATAAGTGTATGTTGCTAAGACCAAAATAAGACCAGGCAGACCAACATTCTCAGAAAGGTTACTTAAATGTGCTACTTCTAATAAAAGTGAATTAAACTAATTCAGAGGATTATTTTTTTAAAAGTCTAAAGAGGTATCCTCTACTGTTTTGGTACTCCCCTCCTCAATGTTGACTTTTTAGTACTTGAACTGTAAACTGTGGAGTTATGACCTACCAACTTTTACCTGTTTTCTTTTCAGGAGTTGTTTTTCATTAAAAAAAAAAGAGAATAGTAATATACCAGACTACTTTAAATTTTCGAAATGTTTTGGTTCAATATATCCTGCTTATTATTGAAAAAGGAATGGTAATCTGGGCAATCTGCTTTAAAAATCAAACGTGGCAGTTAAAAAAAAAAAAAGATTGAAGCAAATGTTCAGCCACTGCAGTCATAAGACTCATTTATTGTGGAGCTGTGACTGTATCATAGGCAATCCAAAGGAAAGAAAATTAAGATATCTAACCATCCATGCACTTTCTACAGATGAATTTTACAGACTCAATATCCTTAATATGCACTGCAATTTCCATGTGTGTGTCTTCACATAGCCTTTTATTTTATTTTATTTTATTTTTTGAGGGAGAGGGACTTTTGGATCTATGAAGATTTAGAATTAAAGCTGGATGTGTGTGCTATTCCCTGTGTATTGACA